CATCAACATTGTGGGTCGCTTCGTTCATTGCAACATCAATAAGAGATTCAATTGCCACATTTGAATCTCCATCACCTCCAATTACATCCAACTAATCATCATCATGACCAAGAAATGTATCATGTTCTGCCTGCTTATTCCCACCGCACTCAAAAACTTCTTCATCCACCTGTGCATGTGTTTTTTCAACTTCACTACTTTTGGTCTTTCTCTCAAATTCATATTGGCCCATTTCTTGATCTTTGATTCCCTTATACTTCAGAAAAATTTTCTCTTCCGCTGTTCTACTCAATTTATGTTTCAACACCTTTACAACATTTTAAAAATATACAATTGTATGTATTAATTAACACAAGTGTATCATTACATTATGACATTTACAGTGTTTTTATAATGCAAGTGTATTGTATGATAACATAAAAAATATATAAAAATTATGTAAGATGGACATATTAATTTAAATTTGTTATATTTAACCAACTTACATATTTTGACTTCAACTTTTCAAGTGTAATTTGTTTCATTGCTTTTTGAAGATACGGCAGTTTCCATTTCAGAATCCTTGGTATTGCATTTGGACTATCAGACTTGACAATTGTTGTATGTTCGCAAATCCAATACTGCACATACATGCAAATGTAATATAAGCAAATGAGTTACATTATGTTTATTAGAGAACAGGAAACAATATTTAGAAATACAATCAGGTTGTTAACATCTTACCAGTAACAACATTACACATCTAGTAACTCCAGATGGGCTGCTACTCTTTCTTTGAAGTGAAGATATAAGAGATTCATGTATTGCACTTGACCAATCGTACTTTTTCATTGCATCTATATTCTCAACATATGAAACAAATCTCCATCCTATAGATGTCTCAGTGTGTGTAAAATATGACCATTAAGAATAGGCATAGGAGTCTTGCAACGTCATGTTTTTTTGTACCTCTTGCTGCTTCAAGCAATCTGCTCCTTATCATGGTTGATGTCAACCTGCTATTTTTCTTGAATCTCCTTTTAACAAAGTTTGTATTTTCCTTAGCATGAGATAAAGAATCCATGGGATCGCGTCCATTATCAATAGCAAAAATTATTTTCATATCACTCCTTCTCAATTTAATGTCCTCCCTACTAATGTGAAATTTAGATTTATTAACATCAAAACACATAATTACATCATGTATGACAATATCACTCTTCTTACACCATGTACTGTCTAATTTTTTATCAATGATGCATTCAAATAGTAACCAGAAAGGTGTTTTCCTCAAAACAACCTTGTATGCTTCACTAATGTTAATTTCATCTATTGTTCTAATTATCACAAGCAAATTCGATCTATATTTAGCATCTTACTTCGATTCCAACATTTGTTTTTTTCCCATCACAGCTCTGAGTTGGGAAGTGACAAAGAAAAAATTTGTATAAAATATACCAAAAGGTTAACTGAAAATATAACAATATAAACAAATAAGTTAACCAAAAAATATTATATAACACAGTCACATAAGTGAATCAAATAACAGTGTATGACACATTTACAAGTGAACCAAAAATAACGTATAACATAATCTAATCCATGAAGCACAAAACAGAATATAACCAAATTTAGTGAATCATAAAACAAAATATAACAAAATAAGTGAACCAATAATAGTGTCATCCTTTTCATATAACATTGAAAGTGTAAAGTGTAAAGTGTTACAGGGTACACTAATGTTCTTTTATTGAGAAAGTTTGAAAGTGTTGTACAACACTGAAAGTACAACACTTTCAAACTTTCTCAATAAAAGAACATTAGTGTAAGATGATAAATACATATTCTATTTATGTAACGTTTTAGGTAATGTCTCACATTACACTATGGAAAAATGTAAAGTGTTGTCTTGTGTAAGTGTAAAGTGTAACATTGTCAAGAAATGTCTCACCTTACACTTAACATTGTATTACAGTCAACATTACACACATGGTTATCCAACAAGGAATAACTATTTTGCATTCCTGCACGCTGTATTATTACACCACAACAATAATTTTAAAAAAAAAATATACAGTTCCATGTGTAATGGTCCATTGTTCTTTATTTTGTTTGTAAACTAGTATGTTGTTACACTATATTGGTAAATTTGGTACACTTTCATGTGTTATCCTTTACATGTTATAGTTTATATATTACAATGTGATGTTAACACAATCAACATTTAATCTTAAAAATGTTTAATCACAAACAACCATGTCACTAAACAACCTGGGCAATTAACACTCACGGCACACAAATTTTTTAAAATAACAAAAAAACTCAGTGTAAATTTAACAATATAACAACATAAAAGTGTATCAAAACAAATGTAATAACAAAAGTGTATCAATAATTGTGTAACAAAACACAATTTTCCAAATAGTTTTTCAATCTTCAAACAAATAAAATAAGGTTCCAATATATGAATTTAAACAACAAAAAAAGTGTAATGTAACTCATGTTGATAATACCAAAAAAATAAACAAGAAAAAGGGGTAATGTACTGATTTTTTTACTGTGTAACCCATTATGATAATAAAAAAAAACATATTCTTATTGAACAAGGAATAAACATTTTGTATTCCTGCATAATATATTATTACCCAACAACAACACCTTATAAACATAATATACTGTTTCGTGTCGAATTGTCCATTGTTAAACACTGTATTGGTAAATTTGTTACATTTTTATATGTTACCCTTTATATGTTACACTTTATATATTTACATTGTCATATTGACACATTCAACACTTAGGATTTACACACAGTGTAATCAGATATAATTACACACAAGAAATAATAAACAATTATGTCACTTAACACTTCACAGCACAACAAAGTTTTATAATAAAAAAAAAAGATTCAGTGTAACAAAATAAAATATTTTCAAATCAAGTGTAACATTAATTTTATAATCCAACACAACACAAACACCAGTTACATTGCCTTCAAACAAACCAATGTGTGCATATGTATTTAGTCAACCCAGTTCACACATATATTCTAGCAATTGAAAAAAAAAAGGGTTACAACATCCAACAATTCATGGTATAAACAACACATAATTTAAAGGCTTTTGACCAAAAAACAACAAAAATGAACATTATTCGTCTCTCAATATTCAAACAAACAAAATAGGGTTCCAATATATGAAATTAAAGACAAAAAATAAAAATAAAAAGTGTAATGTTACCCATTATGATAACACATAATTACATAAACATGAAAAAAAAATGTATTGTACTAAATTTTTTGATTCGGTGACCCATTATCATAATACACAAGATATATATATATATATACACAAGATATATATACACACACACACATAAATATACATACATAAATTACATCTTCAACGATCAAAACATTCAATGAACACAGAATACCCAACCACGATCGACCACAGTGTAAACAACGAGCAAAGATCAAAGTAACAAGGGTTCAATGCCAAAAAAACCCACTTCAAATGACAATGCCGAAAAAACTCACTTCCAAGAAAATCCTCTTCAATCGATCGACCGTTTGTAACATGAATCCTTACAAATCCTTATTGAATCGATGAACAACGGAGATTTAACACCCTTTGTATGAATACACCGACAATCGGTTGAGAAAGAAGATGAATCGGCTTCTTTGAATGGATATGCAGACCAACGGCTTAGTGGGAAGAGAAATAATGAGCAACAATTTTTTTTCTTGGAACACAAAAGAATACATTACGGTTTTTGAGGAAGTTGAAAAGAGCATGAATTAATAGAGTCTAAATTTTAGCAATTATGATAACTGTAAAATTACATTTTTTAATGAAATAAAAATAATAAAAAAGGGCATTTAAGTCTTTGCACCCAAGTACTGTATTTTTTACCAAAACGTTTTTTAATGTGTACTTTTTACCAAATAAGTCTAATTAGGTATACCGACTTCTAAATAACCCTATTAAATACAAGCGGGGTATGGCATTTTTTTTGCAGTATTTGCCAAAGGTATAAGAGATGTTATTGACTATTTTGCTCCTTCCACAGCCATTGATTAGAATGCATTAAGGTTAAATTAATCTTTTTTCACAAACACAGTATTGCTCTGTATTACATATATAATATCAGATTTACTCTAGTAAAATTGATTTTGCTTTTTTGTCACGCATTATTATTGTAGGGAGAGGAACAACGATGTTAGAATTCGTGACCTCAAAATCTAACAGCGGGGCGATGACCATTAAACCAACCACTACCCTAATGAGGTTGGATATGTACGGATATCATTACCCAAAACCAGCCAATTGAATATAATGAATATTGCTAATTTGGATGACATGAATCAGAAATGCAGAATGTTATATCTCTCAAGATAAATCTCATACGTAGTAATAAGATAAGTGAAGTAATCCTTGCAAGTGTTCGGATAATTCGAGGATCTTATCCACCCAAGGAAAAAAAAACCTTTCGTGAACCTTCAAATGCATTTAATAATTTTCCAAAAACAGATCTTTTTACATTTGTAGTTATTTTGGAAATTTTGATGATTCTGTCTGATTACCTATTTGGTAATTTATTCCCACCAACTGGTATTTTAAAATGGAGGAAAATGATGATAGCATCTGCTTACAGTGTAGAAGCTGCAGCACATTAGATCTCTTGATTTGGCTTTGTAACTTCAACCCCGTCCTTCGTTGTTACTTCCAGAACTTGATCTTTAAAATCCATGGAATTAAGTTGAAATTTAGGCCAAGACTTCACAAAATTAGCAAATTACAATCACTTAACAAGTTTCTTCCAAAGTTTACAATAAATCATATGCATCCTAGATTGTTCGGAAGAAAATTGATGAACTTAAGTTTCGGCTTTTGTTTGGAAAATCTAACAACTCCTGAATCCCTCAACGCCATGTTTCTACAAACATTAATTTTGATGATGTTCACTCTCCAGTGTCCAACAATAAATCATATGCATCCTTGAAAAAGCTTCTACCAGAAAAACAATCTACATGAATCTCAAAATACTACGGTTGTCATCAGCAATAAATCCATAAACATTCTGAAACACCTTCAAACCCAAATACAATTCTGAGAAACAATATGTGCTAAATATAACATACTAATATACAACTAGCCATTTCTCGGGCAACAACCCACAAGAAAATTTTGAAGGCTTTGAATCCTAGGTGATATGTTTCTTAACTTTGTTAAGACTTCCAATAAACCTATGAAATTCTGGGAAGGGACAGGACAAAAAACTCTGGTCGAATTGGTTTGCTGCCTGCTTGGTTTATTTTTTATTTTTTGCTTTCTTTCACTGGGTCTTGAGAGGGGAAAGAAGGGCACCAGCTTTCTCTGCTGCTGCATCACACAATTTACATGATAAAAAGCAATTTGAATAAGGCATACCTACGACCAAAAAAAAATTTTGGAACAAAGACACCAAGATGCAGCCTAATTAACCCTTAATAAGCAAATGGAAGCAATAGAAAATGAAAAATGAAAGTCATATGAGGGAACCATCGAATACAACATCATATTAACGAGGCACAAATGTGTCCCATTACAATAGTTCATCAAATTCTATTAGCACCACAGTGAGGATATGGGGTAGCTTAAAGTCACACAAAACAGGCCATATGTTGTTCCTGATTTCCATATGTTGAAAACATGGTGTCAAATCTTAGCCCTTGAATTTTCACTTCTAATTCTTCAAATGGGGTCAAAACAAATATGAACTTAACAACTCCCGAGCCCAAACAACCAGAATCCGAAGAATCAAGGTACAAACTAATATATAGCAGCAACAATAAAAATCTATGACATAATATTTGAACCAAATTTGCATCATCATCATACCAACAATCAAGAAGGAACACGGTAACATCTGTAATGCAGCAAAAACAGAAACCTACTCCAACCATAAAGAGGTGAAGTGGAAAATTATGAAATAATCATCAGAGGAGGTTATCAACAAAAATGGAACAAATACTTAGAAAATTCTTATGGTCAGGATTGGAAATGAAAAGAACTGGGGCTAAGTTACCATGGAAGGATATTTGCAAAACTAAAGACGAAGGAGGTTTGGGGATCAAAGACTTAGGGACTTGGAACAAAGCTTTGATGGCAAGATACCTCTGGAATATCCTGATAACATATGGACTAAATGAGTGAAGAAATACTATGTGAATAATAAGAATTTTTGGATTCTAAAAATTCCAGTCTTGTTCTTGGAATTGGAGGAATTTGCTTAAAGAGTTGAGATTGTTTTTAGGAGCTGTGTGCAACACATTATTGGGGATGGTAATGCTACAGATCTTTGGAAAGACATCTGGCACCCAATGGGACCTTTGGTGGTAAAATGGAGTACTACATGTTCTCATGAAGCTGGTCTTCCTTTGGTGTCTAAAGTCACTCAGAGATATTATGCATGATGGACAATGGTGTTGACTTATTACCAACTATTCTGAGCTCATTGAAATTAAGAATTTCATGCCTCCTTATCCAAGGAATCCAAATTGTAATGACACTGTTAAATGGACTCCCTCAAGCAATGGTGTGTATTCTGCTTCTTCCACTTGGAAATTTTTTAGGATGGCAGCTTCCAAAGTCCCATGGCATAAATTAGTTTGGTTTAGCCAAATGATACCAAGAATGAGATTCATTCTTTGGATTGCAATTCAATGGAAGCTTAATACCAGAGACAGAAAAGTGGCACATGCTCCTCACTGGGAACCGATTGTGTTCTTCTTTCAAATGCAATCGAGTCCCATAATCATTTGTTTTTTGAGTGTTCTTATCCTGCAGATGTTTGGTCAGAAATTATATCCCAATGTGGAGTTAACTGACATAATGTGCCATGGCAGGAGTTTGATAGCTTCAAAATGGAGAGGCAAATCTAAAAAGATTACGATCAAGAAGCTTTGTTTGGTTGTGACTGTGTATCATCTATGGAGAGAGAGGAATTTCAGAATTTATAGCAATCTACACAGGGAAGTTGTGGCATTGAAAAGGTTAATTAGGGAATTCATTAGAAGCAGGTTGATATCTTTGAAATGCAGCAACTGCAGTGAAGATAAAGAAATTGTCTGTTGTTGACATTTACCTGAAAGATATGTTTCAGGATGATATCATTGAAAGAGCAAAATCTGATAAATGCATGATCAGTTGGCCTAGAATAGAGTTGTCTTTGGTTTTTGCCTAGTTTTTTCCCATTGTACATTTACTGAACTTGTCGTTTAGTTGGTTTCTTGAGGGTTTTTTTGTTGTTTTCCCTCTTTTGTAATAGAACTTCATGCTTATCCAATAAAATTCATTTACTTACTGGAAAAAAAAATTGTAAATAGCTACAAAAAAAAAAAAGGAAAAAAGAAATTGACTGCATAATACTTATTCTAAAAATGACACCCAGTTTAGTACCATCATTCAAAGTGGATAGTATCTCAACCCAAAAATAATATTGATCAAATTCTATATGTGTATCAAATTAACTACAATACTTGAACACTAACCAAAAGTGACATAGTAACATCCACAATGCTAGAACAGAACACAAAACTTACACTGAAGATTGGCCCTTACACAACAGAAATGCCACAAACAAAATTGCCAACCACAAGTTGTTCAATATGCTCCTCTGCTGCTATTCAGAATCGAACCAAGCGTACCCAAAACCGCGAAAGCCAAGAGCGGACTCACATCCAAAGTGTCGAAAATTGGCGGAATAATATTCCTAAACAAGTTCAGATAAGGATCACAGAGGTCCCGAATCGCCGACAATGGCTGACGGTCCCAAGGAATGTTGGGAAACCAACTGAGTAAAACCCTAACCATCAAAACCCCACTATAAATGTCAAGCCATTTCGCCATTCCCGCCGCCACCACTGAAAGCGGCGTGTTCAAATTCCCAGTTGGTACGTCCTTCATAGCCGCGAAAAACATCGGTCCAGCCGAATGAACCAAGCTCTCTGGAAGAGCCCGAATACCACCCATTCCAAAGTATAAGACTTTGTTAGCAAGCAATTTTGAAACCGACAGAGCGATGGCTAGGAGTGTTGTGATTGTGCGAGTTGACCCCGTGAGTAAAGAGTGAGTTGGGTTTGGAGTATTTGACAAACAAGTTGATGGGTTTGTGCGGATTGTTGAAGAGGAAGCAATAATTCTTGATTTTCGCTTGGAGGACAGAGAGAGAGGATTGGGTTTGGGGTTACGGACAGAGAGAGCGAATAGTGGTTTTGGGGGTGAAGGGAGAGAGAGACTTCTCGGTTTTAACGGAATGAGGAGGAGATGTTTGGAAGGTGAGGGAAGAGAGAGAGTATTGGGGTTGTGAGGAGAGAGAAAGATGATAGGGTTTCGGAGGATTAGGGTTTGAGAGACCATCAGAGAAGAAGCCATTGGTTCTTCCGAAATTTCCCAATTCTGAAGCTCGGAACCCTTATCCTTGATACTGGTTTTTAGGAATTGGTTTGCGTGTTAGCTGAAATCACATCTAAAGATGAGCTAATTTTTGTTATAATGTTGGCCATTTATTATTAACTGGCTTAATAGTGATATTTTTTAACCCAAAAAAAATGGGATTAATATCCCAAAAAAAATTTAAATCTCAATTTATACAAAATTTGAATTTGCACCCTCAAATATATAAATCTGTATTACTGTACACTTAAAGTTAATAACCGTCTAAAATTAAATTGATAAATTACACCTACACCCTTAAATACTTGTCACTTAATCATCTAAATTCTGTCACATTTGAAATACTACACCTACACCCCTAAGAATTCAAATATGACTACAAGTGTTTCCTAATTGGACATTCAAATAATTCTATTCAAGTGATATATTATATTGGATATAAATAACACTATATAATACTAGTATTTTTGAATATTATATAATACCGATATTGTATTGGGCATTTAAAAGGTAAGCTTGACTTTAATTTTAGAGTACAATGGGTCCACAAAATAAAAGGTAATATAAAAATTATAATTATTTATTAGAATGATGTCATGTATTTTAATAGTTATATTAACGGATATTGATGATTGAGGGTTATGTGTGATAACACACACAAATATCAAGGGGCATAGGTGTAATACTCTAAAGGTGAGAGGTCCAGTGATTAAGTGATAAACTTAAGAGAGTCTAAGTGTAATTTATTTATTAAGTTTTAGAAGATAAACTGACGCCAGATAGTTTCAGATACACATCAATAAAAATTTATATTTTTTAGGGTATAAATTAAAATTTTTGTTCTTTGAGAGTATAAATTAAGATTCAATACATCTTTTATGGTGTAATTTGCGATTACAAAAAAATATAAAGATAAGCTAATTTTTGTTTTAATGTTGGCCATTTATTATTAACCGACTTAATAGTGATGTTTTTTAATTGAAAAAAAATTGAAATAAATTTGGTGCCATTAAATCGAAGTGGATAAAAATTAGATCGATATCAATCATTCTCGTGTTTTACAAATATATAATTTAAATTGTTAACTGTAATATTAAATAGACTAGTGTGCCCCAGGTAAAATGCATTTTTTTATGAAAAATAAAATTTTAAATTTAAATGAATTACTATAATTAAAAGATTAAAGAGTTAATTATTGTAGTTAAAAAGTTAAAATATTACACCGTAATATAATTCAACGGATTTAAACAATGTGAATTGTTGTTATATTTTTCTAAGTGAGAGACTCTACTTTATTATTATAGATTATATAGTAATGAGTTTGTAAATTATAAAATTTTTAAGTTAAAAATTATAGTTAATTAGGTTTTGGTCTTTCATTTAGTGTGTAAACTAATTTTAGTCTTATCGAATTTTTAATATATAAAAAAGTCATCCGTGTTTTTAAAAAAAATACATGTAGTCCTTGTGTCGGCGCGAACATATAGGTGTTGGACAGTTAGTGTGTTTTCATTATCCATTTTGCCCTCATCGCGTGATTTCAGTCTAAAATACAGTTAGTTTATTTTTTTTTTACGTTTGTTATTGAGGACTTTGTTGTGTTATCTATCGTTTTTGAATTTCAAATTCGTGAACCAAACAATTTGAAATATACTAGTTGTTTATCTTAATCGTTAATTTGGTAAGTGCACAATTTAGCAATTAAGTTTTATGTATTCGTTGGTAAGTTTAAGTACATGTTCGTTATGATTTACGTAATTTTGAATTATATTTAGTTTTTTATACTTGTGTACTTATAATGACATATATGTATCTTCTTCTTAATTAAATATTAATGTATATATCTCGTGGATGCATATATTCATATAACATACCTAAATAATCGTGTATGTTATTCGTCGTATATGATATATTGTGTACCTATGTAAATATGTATATATTAATTGCGTAATTGTTGCGTTTGTTAATGCATTTTTTTGTGCGTGTAATAATGAATATTTGTGAGCGTGATTACCTCATATTTAATTTTTAGGTTTGCCAAGGATAGATACGTAATTTCAGTGGTAAAATTTTAGGTACATGTTTATTTACCTGTTGTTCATTTGTATGTGTTTCGACGGGTCGAACATTTCTTCAACTTTTTAGGGGATGGAAGGAATTACGATTATGAGGTGTACAATTGATTCAGTGTAACAGTGTAACTATGTTTACGGAGAATAATATATATTATAATGATGTAACTTTTTTGAATAAGTGTTTTAAATTTTAAATTATCTAATGACATTGCCGTCATTTTTACAATTTTAAAAGACTTTAGTTATGTTCATTGCTTTGAGTTTTTAACATAGACCTAATCAAAAAATAAATTGACCAGTTAATTTTTTTTTAAGAATCATATTAGGCCTAAGTACCGGTCTCAAAAAACTCTAAAAATATAATTTCGTTTGTTATAAAAACACAGCGGCCGAGTAGGGACCTTAACCAATAATCATTGACCATAGGTATGACTAAAGCCTAGAGTCCCTTATTTTATATTCCTCCCAGCCCAATGAATTTTTGGCATGCACTTAAGCTTGTCAATACCAAAGCAGTATTTTAAATTGTAACACAAATTAATTATAAATTTAAATATTTTGAATTTAAATTTTAGCAATTTATTGTAGTTAAGTTATGAAGAATTTATCTCTTAAGAATACTCTAGTCACAGTGTGGATGAATTACTTTTGACTAAACCTAAAAGAGGATTAGTCGAAATACTTATAAACTAGCCCTGACACTCTTGACTATTGAAACAAATAAAAAATACCATGCATACCAAAAAAATTTTTGCCTCCCTGCCATAATGGAGGGATGGAGATGGTTGCTAGAGTTTTTAAGAGAGCAAATGGTGATGAGTCCAAAATTGATTGGGCCAAGCGCAATTAATTTAAACAGAGAAAGCTCAATCAAAGTTGGGTCAACCCATCAAAAGAAGTTTCAGTTATCACAGCCTAAAAAGAATTGGACCTACTCATAAGTTAAGAAGGAGTCAAGTAGAGCCCAAGCCAAAGGCCAACGCCCAAGTGAAAGCCAAAGGGGCGCCGCCCAAGGCTGCCCCTAGCCCTCTCCTTCGCCCTCTTCACTCGAATGCAAATCCAAGACTAATCCAAGTCAAGCTCCAAGTTCAGGTCTAAACTCAAGATCAGGATCATCCTCTGACGGAATAGGAGCACAAGCGACGAAATAGGGACACGAGCGAGAGAATATCGAGATACAGAGATCTAATCCTACTAAGATTGCCGAGAAGACAGAAGGGAGACCGAGAACAAGAGAAAGAAAGCTGAAAGAGTCTCCGTGAAAGACCGTCTTGGAGCACTGCCCCCGAGAGACCAACAGTCATTCACTCCACTAAATGCCTTAGTGGAGCACACTTTGTTCCAGATGCATGATGACCCCACAATCTGTTTGGCCCGGAAAGATAAGATCTGACCTGAAACGCTAAAACCCCAGCAAGTATTGCCGCTTCCATTGGGACCATGGATCTGACACGGATGACTGCTTCCAGTTAAAGAAATAGATTGAGGAACTTATCCAACGGGGTCAGCTTAGACAGTATGTGGCTGATTGAAGACTAGCTCCTTCGCACAAAGAATGAGAGCACTAGCAGCCCCTCGGTGAGATTCAGACCATCGTCGAAGGGTTGGGATGAGGAGGTAACTTTAACTCCGTCAGGAAGGCGTACGCCCGAAGGGGTAGACAAACAGATTCTCATGACTCTCGCCCAATGAAGACACCCCGACATGGAGAGGATGAGATTATCACCTTCTTAGACAGAGATCTTGAAGGGGTCCAGGTCCCATATGACGACCCTCTGGTCTTGACCTTGATGGTGGCCAACTATCAGGTCAAAGAATCCTAGTTGTCAATGGTAGCTCCGCGGACATTTTGTTTGCCATAGCCTATGATAGCCTTCACCTCAACAGACAACGATTACAGCCAATCAAGACTCCCTTGGTTGGATTCTCAGGAAAGAGAGTCCATCCCTTGGGATCGATCACCCTATCCGTCACAGCAAGTGCTACACCCAGGAGCTCCACTATTATGGTAAATTTTCGTGTACTTGATTGTCCTTCTGCATATAATATAATCCTCGGACGCCTTGCCCTCAATGCCTTAAGGGCAGTACCCTCCACTTACCATCTTCTTCTTCATTTCTCAACCTCCAATGGGATTGGGGAGATAAGAGGAGACCAGATCTCAGCCAGGGAGTGCTACGTAGCCTCTATGAGGGCCAAAAGACCACAGGAGACTCTCCAAGTCGAAGTCCTTGATCCCAGAGATGACAGTACCCTAGAAAGGGGTGAACCTATAGAAAAACTTCAGCCTGTATTAGTGGACGACAACCTTCCGAAGAGGAAGGTCTATATAGTCTCCTCACTCTCCTAAGGGAAGCATCTGCCTTAGATAGACTTCCTCAGGCGGAACATAAACATCTTTGCCTGGTCCCACGAAGACTTGGTGGGCATCGACCCTGAGGTGGCCTCCCAATGACTTAATGTTGACCCCAGATACAAGTTTGTCCGCCAAAAGTTGAGAAGTGTGAGCATGAGAGGGGACAAGCCATGGAGAAGGAGGTCGACAAGTTGCGAATGAATGGGTCAGTTAGGGAGGTAGCCTACCCAGACTGGCTATCAAATGTGATTATGGTGACAAAGGCCAATAGAAAATGACGCCTCTACGTGGACTTCACGGAGCTCAACAAAGCTTGTCCTAAAGACAACTATCCTCTCCCCACGCATCGACCTTCTCATCGACGCCACCGCTGGACACGAGCTCTTAAGTTTCCTAGACTCCTACTCCGGGTATAATCAGATCAGCATGTTCCCTCTGGATCAGGAGAAGACCTCGTTCATCACCCCGAGAGGCACTTACTGTTGCAGAGTGATGCCTTTTGGACTCGAGAACGACAGAGCCACATATCAGCATCTAGTCAACAGGATGTTCGAGGATCAGATTGGGAAGACGATGGAAGTCTATGTTGACGACATGTTGGTAA